AATAAATAAAACAGAAAATGTACTGGTAATTTTCTGACAGGACATCAGCCAGTAAAACACAATGAAATGAAGTGCAAAAATCTAAATACAGGGTAAAACACCTGTAAAAAATAAAAAAAATAAATAAATCAACAAATAAATAAATAAATTCCTTCATATTAATACAGTATTTATTTATTTATTTTTTTACAGTTTAGCAGCATTTGAGCCACTTAATGACATTTTAAATGTGACATAAGTTTCCAAATACTTTGGCCACTGTTTAATGAATTTCAAATGTTATTATCTTTGGAGTTAAAGATGTTGGCTTACAATTAATGTAAAGGTGAAAATATTCATTTAAAGCCTACGGAGCTTCTCTTAATAACTCTAATCAGTGGATGCTCACTGCTTATCAGCAGGTTGTTGTGATGAATAGCCTCCACTTATACTCTTCCAGTGAGTGTTTGTGCTTCATATTTAAGTAACGTTGTGTAAATCCAGTGTATTTTTGGCCAGGTTCCTCTTGGACGTGTTCCAGGCGGGGAGAGCCCTCGGCGGCGAGCGCAGGTGATGCATCACGCTCAGACTCATGGGTGGGTGGCTGGTGGAGGGGCACAGAGTAAACAGTCGTAGATCACGCCGCTGTCACAGATGGGCTGCGTCACAGCCAGAGGCCTGCTGCTCTCTGACTTTGAGAAAGCTCTTCATCCGAGTTCATCAGAAGGCTTTCACAGCAGAAATTAGAGGTAAAGACACTTATGCAGACGCTTCATTTATCCTTGAACAACTATGACTAAGAGAGTGAATGTGAAATGCATGTAGGTGGAAAGATCTGTGATTCACTCTTTTCAAGTGGTGAGAGCTGGTGGCCAAGCATTTCTGTTGCTATAGTGCCTCAGTCTGAAAGCCCAGCCGGAGCCAAATCTTTCAAAGGAGCGTGGTCCCTGAAGTCAGTGACGTTCAGTGAGCCCTGGATCTAAAGGTCTTTGTGCTGGATTCCTAGCATTCAACCTAAATCTTCCCATTACAACTGCCTATCTGCTTAAGCGCTGTTAAAAGGTGGCTTGCCTTTTCAATAGTCTGGCGTCGGTTTATTCTTTTTGTATCCCATTGTTTATTGACAAATAACATGTCCATAAACTTCATACTTAACCAAAATCTAGATTTGAGCTTAACCTTCCCTTGTGAAAAAGAAGCGTACCGTACATTTTAAAAAGAGTACTTATTAAGGAATTAATATACTTTACAATAATATATTTAATAGATTTATATTAAATGCAATGCAAGCTGAGTGTTTTTTGACTCACTTAAGTAGTAATTAAATACATCTTTATTTCATTTAAATATACTAACTTAAGATGTATATGAACCTTAAAGGTAAGATTGAAGAACACTACAGTTAAAAATATATTCAAGTACTTAATCAAGAGAAGTCTGCTTCTTTAAAACACGACAGATTATTAAACATAATGATTTAAAATTAAAGTAAAATGTATACTTTGACATTATTATAAAGTGCACTAAAGTGTGTAAAGAGACTGTGAAAGTGTACTCTCTTTAACTGTTTTTTAATTGAATTAGTAATCATTTGAATTTTTTTTTTTTTAATAAATACATGTTTAAGATTTGAAATACACTACAAGTATGCATTCAATACCATTAAGTGCGCTTCTTCTTCTTCTTCTTCTTATCTCCACAAGGGTGCGAAAATGCGAAAATGGTGTATCCCTATTTTAATGACAAAGAAAGGTCAATTTATATGTGAACTGCCCTTTGCAAGCCATTTTACCTCCATAATTTGACATATTTCCCAGTAAAACAGGATATTCCCCAAGAAAAAGTGTAGGGTGGGCCTTGTTTGGATTGTGGGAAAAGTGTTCATTATAGAATGCAGCCAGAATAAATGTGAGTATGCTAAAACAAAGACTAATTAGAAATGTTCCTATAAATCTTAACATTATCTGACAGCCATCTGTGGAAAGGGAGACTCATATGATAAAAGAATATGAATAAAAACAGTTCTTGGGGAAAAAACAAAAACATGCACCGAATGACTAAGAACGTGCATTAAGAAAGCAAACATGATTTCACATTCACTTTAAGCACCAACAGTAATATTAATTTGCCCGAGTAATTGCAGAAATGCTTCAAAACAGACATTAAATTGATTTTAAATGCAAAAACGCTGGAGAGAGAGAGAGAGAGAGAGAGAGAGAGAGAGAGAGAGAGAGAGAGAGCGAGAGAGGG